AGGCTCTTCAAAAGGGGCAGTAGGGTTTTTTGGTCTCTTTGTATTGATCTCTTTTGGGTCCAGAATTTGCCCCAACTGCGATGCACACAGTTATTTTTAGTCTCATATAGTTTCTTTGTATCTTGTTGCTCCAGGAGAGGTTTATTCAGGCACAAGCATTGCAGCACTGTAGCAAAGGTTCCCAGGTCCCAACCTGTCTCAGTAGGTGCTTATTAATGTTTCTTTGATTAAGCATTTATATATTCACCTGCTCCAATTTACACTCTCCCATTGTTGTATCTGACTGCCTTTTTCTATGTACATGTCTTGAATTCCCAACTAAACTATAAGCTCCAAAGGGGACGAGGGGACGATTATATTTTTTATTTGTGTGTACGTGTCCTTAGAACATCTTTCATGCAGTATGATCTCAAAACATCTTTGCTAATTGATTTTCAGTGACCAGTTGTGTGATAGAATACCACAAAAAGCATGGCAAGGCCTATACCACCCAACTTGAGTGATTTTGCTTAAAGTACATATTTTGGATAAGTATTTTAAATAGGTGTACACAGTCTAAAAACATGGTTTTTAAAAAATTTTTATTGGAGTAGAATTGCTTTACAATGGTGTGTTAGTTTCTGCTTTACAACAGAGTGAATCAGTTATACATATACATATAATCCCCATATCTCTTCCCTCTTGCGTCTCCCTCCCTCCCACCCTCCCTATTCCACCCTTCTAGCTGGTCACAAAGCACGGAGCTGATCTCCCTGTGCTATGCGACTGCTTCCCACTAGCTATCTATTTTACATTTGGTAGTGTATATATGTCCATATATACACTACCACTCTCTCACTTTGTCCCAGCTTACCCTTCCCCCTCCCTGTTTCCTCAAGTCCATTCTCTAGTAGGTCTGCGTCTCTGCGTCTTTATTCCTGTCTTGCCCTTAGGTTCTTCACGACCATTTTTTTTTTTTTTTAGATTCCATATATATGTGTTAGCATACGGTATTTGTTTTTCTCTTTCTGACTTACTTCACTCTGTATGACAGACTCTAGGTCCATCCACCTCAGTACAAATAGCTCAATTTTGTTTCTTTTTACGGCTGAGTAATATTCCATTGTATATATGTGCCACATCTTCTTTATCCATTCATCTGTCGATGGACACTTAGGTTGCTTCCATGTCTTGGCTATTGTAAATAGAGCTGCAATGAACATTGTGGTACAAAAACATGTATTTTAAACAGGTCACTAAAGTGGGAGGGAGCACCCAGGTCCACGCCAAGGGAACAAAGGTGGTACAGAAATGGGCACGCTTCTGGGCTGCTGACTGAGCTGGGCATAAAAAGGGGTCTCCTGACTGATGGCCATTTGCCACAGTTCTCTGTTGCACCTGAAGGTGTTTTGTTTCCTCTCAGAGCACATTTCGTTGGTCTCTTATTGTCTGTGGACTCTTGTCAGATTGTCAGTGTGTGATATTGTTGAAGGGTGAAGCTTGTCATCCTCACAGATCAGGCACTCTTGATGAGAATGGAGAGCCTAATCACTAAGCTACCAGAATATATTGTAAAAAAATGGATCCCGCTGGTACTTAGCCAATTGATAAGAAGCTAAAGCTTTTACTAAGCAGTTCAACAATCCTGTTGACCAAATTCACCATTGTTTTTGATGTAAGACAGTTGTCTTTAATACACTTGAGAACATCTCGGTTACCAGGCTGAAATGTTTAGATATCTACCTTTAAAAAAATTTTTTTGGACTAAAATGTAATTGATTTCTTAATTAGGAGGACACTAGAGAATTGGCTGTGAGGAATTCTTTTAAAAGAAAGGGCAGTTCCGCATTTAACTTTCTTTGTGTTGTCAAATTTTAAATATATAGCTGGGGAGGAAAGACTTGCATGCCTCAATTTATTTATCCCCAAATCTGAAACTTCACATTAAGTTCACTCAGGATATTGCACAGTAGATATAAACAATTGTATATGATGCAGGGTACAGTATGCACAGGGGATCATTTATTTTTTTAATTTGCTATCTATTATTAGACTTCTCATTACTCAGGCTGGATGGAAGCAGAAAGGTCTCATTCTGATAATCACTGCCAATTATTTAGCTGGAGATTACAGGCAGAAGGAGTTCATTTTAGATGGTTCAGATTTAAGAAGTAACATTTCTTGCCAAGGAGTTCTAAACACACTTGTCTTTTTTTTTTTTTAACCCCAGTTCTTCACATTTTAACTATTCCAACAAAAATCCACAGTTTAACAAACCTAGAAATGATTAGTCTAGTTCCATTCCTTTGTGCCCACGTGCCTCTCGAGGAAAATCAGTACGCACTGTGGTTATGAAAGGAACCTGTACGATAGACTTAAGTTCTACAAAATGTTTGGATGAATATTTGAATGTTAGGCATTTCTAGAGAACTTTGCATTCACTTGCTTTTTATTTCTTGTAATACCCTCCCAGAGAAAGAGTGCACTTTCTATTTCCCTGATGAGGTAAAATTTTCATTAAAAAAATCTAATCTGATTTTCTTAAAAAATGTGTAATTCTTCTTTTTTTATTACATTTTAAATAGTCTTAAGGCTCTTGAATCCCCCAAATGACTAATTAGTAGAGCAATAATATATCATTCTCTTTTATTAATCTGAAAATTATACTGTCCTCAAGAGACCTCAGTTTGATTTGTGTGTTTTGATGCCAGAGTAGAAAATTTTATTTCTCACTAAAGGAGTTTCTTCCCTGTGGTTGGAGAGAGAACAATGCAGAGCCAGGGCTGATGTGCCACTGATGGGACCCTGCATGGATTGGCAGAGAATAGGAGAACCAGTTTCCCGTGGGATGAAGAATTGACGTTAAAGAGTTGAAAGAGTTCTTTTATGTGCTTGGCACTCTGCTGAGTGCTTTAGTTGCAATATCTCATTTATTCCTCGTAATCCTATGAGATAGTATCCTCATTTCTAATTCTGTGAAAACTGGATCTCGAAATATGGATGAGGAGAGATTTGTAGCAAGAGCCCCTCATTCCCTGAGCGTGCCGTGTGCAAGTCTGCTCAGGAACAAACTGCTAGGTAGTTGCCAGGTGGAATGCTAAGATCAAATACTGTCCCTTTAATTCTTCTTCTCGACATGCAGTTTGAAATAGGCAGTAGAGTACAAGAAGTATACTTAATTCACCAAATTGTACTATTTAACACTCAAACTGATTTTTAAAACATGTTATACTTTTGATAATAGTCCTTTTGTAACTGACTGGGGTGCCAGCATGTTTCATACCCATTTTGCGTGACCTCTTCATTAATCATTTCTTAACACCAGAGCACTGCTTTATTCGAATCCAATTAGAGGCCTCCACTTTTAAAAATAAAAGCTAAAGAAGATTGGGGATGGCATTTCCCGTCTTGTCCTGAGCCAACACTTGAGAAATCTTTCAGTGCCCTTGGCTCCAAACTGCAGGTGTGCCCTTCAGAAGCATCACAGAAAAACAGGAGGGTTAGCTCCAAAGTCAAGAGTTTGAGATAATATGAGTTTGAGTGTAACATTGTAGTAAGAAAAATGTCAGAAGATGACATGAAAGGAAAATTGTCCCATGAGAGAAATACTTCCTGAAACTCTGAGTGGAAGATGTTTTTAATATGCCTTTAATTCCACATTCATGCAGTTCTAGTAGTGAAGCAGGTCATTTAAGAGGGGTGGTGGCTTAGGCCAAAAATAAAGTTTCCTTGAAACCAGATGAGAGGCTAGCCCTGACGAAAACGGAATCCTGACTGTTCACTCACAAAAATGTAAGCAAGTAGAATTTTGTGTCATAGGAAATAATCTAAATGAAACAGGATCTTCACTGTCTTTTGTGATGGAGAGATGCTAAAACAGCCCTTCTATAAAATGTGAAGCAGCAGTTTAAATATGGAAGGCATATTTTATAATAACCTATGAGGGAAAAGAATCTGAAAAAGAATAGATATCATATGTGTGTACATATATATATGTACACACACATACATATATATATAATTGAATCACTTTGCTGTACACCTGAAACTAACACAACATTGTAAATCAACTATACTTCAATTAAAAAAAAAATAATATAGCAGTCTAACGTATTCCGGTCTGGAACCATGTCCAAGACATACTGAAAGGTGCAGAACAACATGGGTTGCACGGTTTTCGTCTGTGTACAGATGTTTAAATATGTACAGTTGTAGGCATATACATGCACAGAAAATAACTGGAAAGATACATACGAAAAATCTACATTTCAGGAAAGGAATGGAAATTGGAGAGGAAGGGGGATTTTGTGAATTTACTCAGTATGTCTCTATCTTTAAATTTTTACACAAACATGCATATGCACACACACACACACACACACAAAATTAAGAAAACTATATAAACAGGGAAAGCAAAGATTTAAGGTCTCAGTGAATGTGTATAGTGGTTAAGGCATAGGTCCTGAAGTAAAACTGCCGGAGTTTGAATCCCATCTCCTTTACTTGCTATATACTTCCTTACACAAGTTAGTTAATTTCTGTTGCCTCAGTTTAGACAAATGCAACACAGAGATAATGGTTCTTATGTCATATAGTTGTTACAAGGATTAAATAAGTAATACATGAGAGAGCATATGGCTCATATGTTTAATAACATAGTGAACATTCAGATAATATTATTATAAATGACTATACTTAAACATCTAGCTACAATCAATTCTGTGTGCAAACTTTTCAGTTAAAAATGCTTCCAGTGACAACTCTCGTCATCACAATGTATTTTCTCAGAGTTTCATTGTAGACGTTAATGATACTGTCATATTTTACCCCAGTGGTGTTCAGAGCTTCCAATTAGAATAGAATAGCAAAGACAAATGGAATTATGTTGTTTTTTTGTAGTATGTCATACGTTCCATTTGTGGACTAGTCCTGACTTTGCTTCTTTGACCATCTAATCTAATGTACATATTTGTTAGTAAACTCTAGAAATGGAAATAATGAGGTTTTTCTTTCTCCCTTAGGAAGACTATGATCGTCTGAGGCCTTTATCTTATCCAATGACTGATGTCTTCCTTATATGCTTCTCTGTGGTAAATCCAGCCTCATTTCAAAATGTGAAAGAGGAGTGGGTACCAGAACTTAAGGAATACGCACCAAATGTACCCTTTTTATTAATAGGAACTCAGGTATGTCTGCTTTGATTTTACCCATTTAAGAATAACCTCTGTGGCCTGCCTTGTGGTGTTGCTCTTAGACAAATGGCCCTAAGGTTTAGCAACTGAGATAATAACATGTTGAATCTCAGTTGTTATAATAAATTCTGTCACATTTTTGGAAAAAGTAGTGTCAAAGAAAGCAATTACTTTATTAGTTGGTTTTAAAGATTAGGTTCTTTTGTAATCCTTTTTTGATACGTGGGGTTAAATGGGATTACATGCTTTATCTCTAAAGACTGATAATATTATGGGACATTATTAACCTTTCTTAACTAGATTGATCTGCGAGATGACCCCAAAACTTTAGCAAGACTGAATGATATGAAGGAAAAACCTATATGTGTGGAACAAGGACAGAAGCTAGCAAAAGAGGTAATGCAACCTTTACAGAATTTAAAAGTAAATGTAAATGAAGCTAAGGTGATAATAGAAGCTAATATTTATTGTGCTTTACTGTATGCCAGGCACTGTGCTGAGTGTTTTACATGCATTAGATCATTTAATCCTTGCGTCGACTCAGTGAGGTTGGTCTACTAGTACCTCTGTTTTATGGAGGAGAAAACAGAGGCACAGCCTTGTCAGGTAACTTGTAAGGTCCCGCAGGAAGTAAATGGCAGAGCTGGGCTTCAGTAAAGGCCTCACTCTGGCCTTTACTAAACCTGTGCTACACTGCCAACGATATTTTCCTAGTAAGTCATGTGTACAAAGAGGCGTCACAAATAGGGGCTGCTGAATCAGGCCCTGTCGTCAGTGAAGACTCATGGTGGAGAAGAAATGTGTTGTTGAATTCTCTTCCACAAGAGAATTTTTATGCAAGGTGGAATATATTATCACTTAAAAAATATAACTGTGATGCACAAAATACCTTTTAACTTATATTCTTCCTCTCCCCAAAGTGAGGCTTACTTTTTTCTCCATTTGCCCCTAACATGATTGGATTCTATTTTTTAGATGTTATGACTTTAATAGGACTTTTGTGGAAATGGAATATAATAAGGTGTTTTTAAAAATACTATCAGGAGGCAGAAGAAAGCAAGAAAACTTTTTGGAGAACAGTTTTTCCTAAAGCAAAAGATAAATAGCTTCACTAACAAGTTACTAGCAAGGAATTTCACATGTTAAATTCTGTCATCTTAGGAGAGAAGGAATTTCTAAATTTCATAAAGGTAAAAGTCATAAATGAAAACACTGATGATTTGACTACGTAAAAATTTAATATGACATCAAATGCCAGAAATAAAATTAAAAGTCATATAACAAACTTGACATTTATGGCAGAAAAATGGGTTAATATCCTTAGTGGACATGAACCCCTTGCATATGGATAAATCGGAAAAAGACATATGCATACCCCAATAGGAAAAGGGACTCAGAACATCAATGGGAGATTCTCCAAAAAATGCAGATTGCCATTGAAGATAAAAAATATGTTCATATTCCTTAGTAATCAAATGTAAGTTCAATTTCCATCTGTAAAATGGGCACACAAAAGAAGAGACATTAATTAGAATACCCACCGTTCCAGGTGTAAGCAAATGGGTACTCTGTTGTTCTGTTGGTCTTTGAGTAAAAGCCTCGACAACATGCCAAAGCCTTAAAGTCATGTACACTTTTGATCAAGCAATTTCATAGGGAGGAGTTTATCCTAAGAATATTATACGGGATGTGCTTAAAGAGATAGCCATAAAGTTCCTGCATTGTTTATAATGGCAAAAGAAAGCCCCTGCATCTGTAAAAAATTTATACTAATTTACTTACTGAGATGTTCGTGTTTATTATGTAGTTTAAGAGAAAAAAAAGTGGTTGCAAAACACCATTTCTAGACCTGTCAGCAGCATTTGGCACAGTTGGTCCCTTCTTGAAACACATTCACTTGGCTTCCTTGAACGCCCTCTCTTGGGCTTTCTCCCGCTCGTGGGCCTCTCTTCCATCTCCCCGTCTCTGAATGTTGAGGGTCCAGGGATCCGCACTCAGCTTCTTGGTTGTCTTTCCTTCTATATCCACACTCAGCCTTTAAGCTTGGTAAGCTTCTATCCGTCTTGTGGTTTTAACAGTCTGCTACTGAGATTCCCAAATTTCTATCTGCAGCCTGGACCTCTTCCCTAAACTCTAGACTTGGTTATCTAACTGGTCATGCACCAAGTCCATCCGGGTGGTAAGCATCTCAGAACTAACATGTCCAAAACAGAATTCCCAATTTTATCCTCTAGGCTTAGTCTTCTCAGTTACTCGGGTCAAAAACCTTGAAGTCACACTTGACCTTGCTCTTTCTCTCATACCATTCAGTGAACCCTCCAGCAAAATATATTTTTCTGCGTTCAGAATATACCCAGAATCCAAACGCTCCTCTCTGTCCCCTCCTCTGGCAACCTGGTTCAGGCCCCCTCCCTCTCTGGCCTGGATTACCGGAACAGCCTCTCACTCACCTTTCTGCTTCTGTCTGTGTCCGTTAACCTGTTCTCAACACAGCAGCCAGAGTGAGACTTTAAAAATAGAAGCTCCATCAGCTCCCTGCTCTGTTCAGAATCTTCCAGTGGCTTTATTATCTTCCGAATAAAGAAAGGCCCAAGCCCTCACCCTGGCGTACAGGCCCCGCTACCTCTCTGCCTCACTCACTTTGCTCCAGGCACTCGGCCTCTGTGCGGTTTCCCCAGTCTTCTGCCTCAGAGCCTTTGTCCTTTCACTGCCCCCTCTGCCTGGGATAGTCTTCCTGATGTGGACATTGTTCATTCTTTCACTCAGATATCACTCTGTCAGTGAGGCCTTGCCTGACCTCTCCCCACTTCCTATCTCCTCCCCCATTTTTCTCCAGACCACATATTCTACCTCTATATTTATTAGTCCACGGTTTTCTCCCTCTAAAATATAAGCTTCATGAGAATAGCTTAGGGACTTAATTTTGTTCCTTGCTCTATTCTCACATTTGGCAAATGAGAGTGCTCTGTAAGTTTTCAATGAACGAACGAATGGATGGATGGATGGATGGGTCGGTCCCCTCTCACAGTAGAAGCCAAAGTCCTTACTTGAGGTTGCTACCTCGAGGCTGCCTCACTGACTGCCTCTCTTGCCATTACCCCTGCTCACCCTCTCCTGCCACTCTGGCTTCTTTCCCACCCCCTGAATGCTCCGTGCATGCTGCTGCATCAGGGTCTTTACATCTGTGGCTCTGTCTGCCTGGAAACTCTTTCCCTAGGTATCCCTCAGTGCTCAGACTTTACCTTGGTGAGCAGCTTTCTCTGACCACCACCACTGTCCTCTGCACCCTTTCCCTCCCTCACTCTGCTTTTTTTTTTTTTAACCTGTAGCATGTGCCACCATCTGCTCTATATTCCTCTGTGAGTTCCTCCCTCAGTAGAACTTAAGCAAACGTAAGCATCACACAGCAGAGACTTTGCTGTTTTGCTCAGTTCATTGACATGATCCCCAGCACCTAAAAACAGAGCCTGGCATATAGTAGGGTACCCAGTAAATATTTGATGAATGAAAGAATTTTCCATAGAGAAACTCTGGAAGAATATACACTAGTATTTTAACAGTTAGCTATCTCCGGGTATCATAAATATGGATGATTTCATTCTTTTTGCATTTTATGATTTTCCTTATAATGGTGTATTTGTGTGGTATCAGTTGTTGTAAAAAAGACTGTATATATTTGTGATTTTTTTTTCTCCCTCCCAGATAGGTGCGTGCTGCTATGTAGAATGTTCAGCTTTAACCCAGAAG